GCAGATGATCAAATTCGGCAAAGTGTCTCGGTGCAACCTTCAAACCCTATATCTGCAGCACCTGTAGTGGCCACTGGAAGTCATCCGCCATATTTACCACTGTCTCGACTGAATGATTTTAATGGCGTCAATCGAAATTTCACTGCCAATCGAGGTGCTTTTGGGTTTCGAAAACCTAAAAAAACTAAACAGGACTCAAAACCGGCAATTTCAAAACAATTGACAACAAATAGGGCAAAAAATTTAAAACGACGTACCACTGAAAAACATGGCAAATTCTAAATAAAGTTTGGAAGTAAAAACAAATCAAATCAACTATACGACTTTTAATTTTTATTACTTTAATTTTAAATACTTTTATGTTTTTAATTTTTATTATTATTTTCCAAACTAAATTTAAAAAAAAGCAAAATTTTATAAAAATTGTTAAATAAATTCTATAACCTAAAACTTTAAAATTTTGTTTAGTACAAAAAACCAGTGTTGTTATTTCTAATGTAAAATTGGATTTTCATCAAGCGTCAGTAATTCAACGATAAAAACATGTTGACATTAATGGTTATTTGTGTTTGGGCAATTCGCCATTGCAACCACAGCAAAGTTTGCAGTCAATTACTTAGCTGAAATTCTTTTGCTCAACTGTGCTAGCCAAAATAAATAAATACGCCAACAGAAACTTTGCGGTAAAAGTCCGAACAAAGTCGAGGCAATGTACGGTGCAAAAAACTGCCAACCAGAACATCTTTCTCGCACTAATAAAAGGCGCTGATATTGCGACATTTGCGATGATTGCAATGAAAAGCAACAGTGCAGTTACACACACAAAACACAGTTGGCAGTATTAATGATAGACATATTCTTTGCACTGCCTAGACACTGCCAATGTAAAAAGGAAACTGAATAAGCAAAGAAGAAGATGCAGCAGCAGCAACAAACGGACGACTCGCTTCAGAGACTGCAGTACAAAAGAACCTATTTATAACGAGTCACAAAGAACAACAACCAGCAACGGCAATCAGTGGCGACAGTGGAGAAATACAATTTGCTGAGATGTTCTCGGGTTTTGTTGAAAAAAATGAAATATTGTAAGTAACCAAATGCGTTTTTAGGGAATAACGCTCTACTGTGTGCGAGCAAACATTGGTGTGCAAAATGCGATTTGATGAATTTCACAAAAACAAAAATTTGTGCAATGTCAAAACTGTGCAGCACTATTACAGAAAAAATTTATTGCAAAAATTTTCAGTTTTTGGAAGTGGAACAGTAAAAACAATGTACTATAAAACTAGTCATCTTTTTTACACAAAAGACAGTTTGCTTAGTGTAAAGTTGCACATTTTGCTAATTGTAGGCTGATTAGCACAATGAACTAGTGTGTGTTTGCGTTTTGATAAAGATCACATTCATTTAGTGAACTACGATGAATGAGTAAAAGTGTTAGAAAAGTTTTTTTGTAACTGACAAATTGGAAGACACATTGCTGAAGCAGAACACTCAACTATTGCTCATCAAGCACTGTTTTTATAAATGTTCACATACTTTTTATTTTTACTAAAATGTACACAACAAGTTACTAAAAAATACCATTGTCTAATATTCATCTATTGTTTACAAAATGATAAATTTTTTTTGTTTTTAATTTTTTACTAAATTGTTAGTTTTACCAGTTGCAATTTTATGCAAAATAAATTTTGATTTAAAAGTAAACAATTAAGTTAATTTTAAAAATACAAAATTGACAACAACAAAATGCAATTTAGAATTCACTAGTTTAAAATCAACATTTTTTCAATTGCTACATGAATATTGACTGAAAAGTTAGTTTTTTTTAAAACGTATGTACTTTGTTGTATCAACAAGAGCAAAATAAATAACCTAATAAAAAACAAAAAGGCAAGTCTGTTCTGGTATTTTTGCTGTCATCGGCAAAAAGACGGGCAGATCAAAACATCGTTTGCCAGTGAAAGGATTAACGGCAGGCATTGAGCGTCACGTTGAGCAGAAGCCTAAATGATTGCGGGAGGAAACCAATTGACATTGCTGAGTACTTGTTGAATGCAATTGCACTGTGCCTAAAGTCGAAGTTGTCTGCTGATGTTTACCGTCAAAGACGGCTGACAGAAGAAGAAGAGGGGCGAGGAAACGGGAGATATTGCAGTTGTGTAGTCAGTGATGCTTTCATTTCTTTCTTTGCTTTCTGTGCTTTTGCCTGCGTCACTTTACCGAATCACACGTCGGATGATGTGGGCTGAAGCGTTTACCGGTTGGCATTTTCTGGTGATATTTTTAGTCATTTTCACGATTCAACCATGACGTGAACCCACCACCACTACCACCACCATTTTTATCACTGTTGAAAAGGCCAAGCAACTGAGGATTGATTCAACTACAAGCAATGGCTTTCCCGCATCAATATATTTTACTTTTTGACAGCTTATGAACACTGATTCTGCGATGGCCATGAATATGACAGCAAAACTGGTGTAGAAAAATGTACCTTTGTCACAACACAGTTGAATTAATAAAATCACAACATACTACGCAAAAAAACCTGCTTTACCTCTTTCAATACGCCCATGCAACTAGTTTTTTATGTGACGTTTTTATTTTACTTGATATTTAGGTAAAGCAACTTAACTTTTGGATACAATTTCTGTCAACTGCTAAAACTTGGGCAACTTTTGACTACTAAGGAACTGAACTGCTTTGTTTCTATGTTTAAATATTTTTAAATTTAAGTTTCCTTTTTCACTTTTCAAAGGTTGTCAATAGGTCGGAGCACAGTGACGGGTGCTCGATCGATTGCACTTTTGTGGTTTGGGGTGTTTTTACTTTTACTTTCTACTGCAAAACAAGCATGACCGAGGCTAATCGCTGCCTGTTACCTCAAAACTCGACTAGCTCACGAGCACACCCAGCTCAACACAGTGTACAGATCTGAGTTCGCCCACCACCAACTTTACCCGAATGGCTGAGTTGGTTTAAAAATAGCCTGCCATGGAAGTAGTAGCTAACGAGCTGACGAGAGAAGGATAGAATCCGGGTAGTCTAGTTGAGTAGAGCTTACAAGGACACTCGCCGAAGGAACAACAGGCGATGGCAAAAGTTGGCAATCGGTTTGTGGCGGAAAGTCGCAGAGGAATAGAACGAATAGAGAGAGAGAGAGAGAGAGAGAGAGAGAGAGACCGGTGTCACCATGCAAATGTATCCGCTGTCAGAACCGTTTTACCACTCTTCGGTGGGCACACTCACCCGTACTGTTCGTTATTTTGGTAAACAACTGGCAAACACTCCCCCTCCCTCTGTTTCACTTTCACCAAAAGCTGAGCAGTGGTAGTCGTTGATTTCAGCGCTTTTTGTTGGCTAAAATACGCCAACAAAATTTGCAAATTATATCAGCAACAGAGGACTGTGTGTGTGTGGCTTGCACCACGTATTTCACCAGTGCATCAGTAGTGCCGTTCAGTGTTTTGCTGAACGTCGACTGAAGAACATCAACTGATCGCCACTGAAGCAGTGATCTTCTTCTTCTTCAAGTGGTGACAGTTTTTGTGTGCGTTAGAGAACTTTTTCACTGAAGAAAACGTGTTCTGTACAGTAAAGGTAAGTGAGTCCAGATGGGTATTTAAATGTTTTGCTTATCCGCACATTAATGCCGTTAATCAGTTTTGTTTACATTATTACTCATCTTTTATGTTGCAAATATCTTTCAAATTTGTTTTTATGACATAATGTTTCCATAATTTCTAAATTGTTTATAACTGCATTGTAGTTTTTAACCATTTTAAATTAGTTCATTGCGATCGTAATATTCGTTTCAAAATGAACTAGTGCTTGCAATTGCTTTTTAATGTTTACCAAAACTTTAAGTAAAGATTACAGAAACTTGCATTTGTGAAACAATTTTCTATCATTTGTCAAAACATGTAAGCATTTAAAGATGTCATTTACGTTGCAGATATTTGACAGTTTTTGATTGACGATTGATATAAACTGCAATTTTGTTTTTTAAAAATAGAGAATCGGCAAACATTGCATGTTTTGCCATCCATGTTCCTGTAGTGTCGACAAATTGCACGTACATCAAAAGTGTCAGTCACAAGCACTGGTTTGGCCAGTGACAGGCAGCAAAAACAAGTGCTCAGAGCGGCCAGAGGTAGCATCATTTTTGCATTTGAAGCCAATGCGACTGTTCAAATGCCACTGTACTGTTTAGTAACAAAACACACACACACACATACACACAAGCCGAGTGAAAGCAAAGCATACGCCAACAACTAACCAAAAGTCAGCCATAATATGATGCTTTAAGAGGTGGGCAAAAAAGTACCGCAGTTTAGCAGTTCAGTGCACACACCGGGACTGCACACCCGGGCTGCAATACCGCCGACGCCAGTGTTGGCATTACTTGACTTGTTGAGTAGCAGTGGAAGAGCACTGGCACCAACACCACTACCCAATACACTTCTTTTCTGGCACATCTTTGCCTCATCTTCTCTTCTTTCTCTATTTTTGTCTATTTTCATCGTCTGTACTAGTGAAACCGAGGCAGTTGAGTAAAGTAATCCCTGGCAAACAGAAACTTCAGAACTGCAGTACATTGCGACAAGTGAGAAACGCCAGTGAATGCTAAGAACCAGTGGCAGCAGATGCAAACAAGGCAGACGGCATCAGTGTTCAACTATTTAGTCTCAACCCTTTGCTACTCGTCGTCTTTAAAGTTATTTTTAATAGGCTTTGTTTTGATATAATCATCCTGCATCCTTCTCATTCTTTTCCCCCTCATTCCCTTTCTTTTTTGTTTGCCGATTGCACTGCATTTCGCCCGTTTTCTGTAGTATTTTTTATAACTCGAATAGTTTTTGCTTTAACTGTTCAGTTTAGTGTTGTTTACTCTATCAACGCTATTAGAATTAGTTTCAGTTTTTTGCAATTTTAAATACAAGTATTTAAATTGAATTTTATAATTTTTATTTTATAGTTTTTAGCAAGTTTAAACGATGCCCGTCGACGATAAGCCAATCCGCCGTGGTAGCAAGGCAAAGGGCAAGGGCGAAGATGATGAGGACTGGATGACGGAAAACCTGGCAGAGGATGCCGTCTGGAAGAAGATGCAGCAGAACACCTTTACCAGGTAAACAACTAAAAAACTTTAAAAAATTATTTTTATTTAAAATGATCATTTGTCAAACAATAGATGGGCAAACGAGCATCTGAAAACGGTGAACAAGCACATTGCTGATCTTTCCACTGACTTCTCTGATGGCATTCGCCTGATTGCCCTCGTCGAGGTGCTGGCCGGCAAGAAGATCGGCACCTACAACAAAAGACCAAAGGTTCGCGCTCAGAAGATCGAAAACGTCAACATTGCCATTCAGTTTCTGAAGAACGAGGAAAAAGTGCGCATTGTCAACATTGGTGAGTAACAGCTTTTCAACAAACGCTAAACCTGATCAAAAATCGTTCATTTTTCTACTACCACACGCACACACAGACTCCATCGACGTGGTGGACGGAAAGATGAAGCTGATCTGCGGTGTGATGTGGATGCTCATTTTGCACTACTCCATCTCGATGCCAATGTGGGAGGGCGAGGACGAGTCGATGTACAAGGAGAAGGGCGGACCGACGCCCAAGCAGCGTCTCCTCAACTGGATCCAGAACAAGGTGCCCGACGTGCCGGTGAACAACTTCACCACCGACTGGAACAACGGCATCGCCCTGGGCGCCCTTGTCGACTCCTGCGCCCCAGGTCTCTGTCCTGACTGGGACAAGTGGAAGCCCGCCGATGGGCTGAAGAACGTCACCGCGGCGCTGAAGATCGCCGAGGAGTCGCTAGGCGTGGCGCCGCTGGTCAACCCCGAGGAGATGGTCAACCCGAAGGTGGACGAGCTCTCCATGATGACCTTCCTGGCGCAGTTCCCCAATGCAAAGCTGAAGACGGGCGCGCAGACGAAGCCCCGGCACAATCCGAAGCGCGTTCGCTGCTACGGTCCAGGTGTGCAGAAGACCGGCGTGGCCAATGGCGCCAAGACCAACTTCACCGTGGAGACTTTCAGCGCCGGCGACGGCGAGGTGACCGTCTTTCTGAAGGATCCCTCCGGCAAGGAGATCCCCGTCGATGTGAAGTTCAACGACGACGACGCAAAGACCTACACCTGCACGTACACGCCGAAGATGGAGGGCCCGCACAAGGTGATCGTCAAGTACTCCGGCACGGAGGTGCCCAAGTCGCCCTTCGAAGTGGAGGTCAAGGGCAACCCCGGCGACCCGTCCAAGGTCAAGTGCGAGGGCCCCGGCCTGAAGCCGACCGGAACGCAGGTGGGCAAACAGACGCACTTTGACATTGACACCACCAATGCCGGCCTCGGCCAGGTGGAGGTGCAGATCACCGATCCGAAGGGAAAGACGAACTCGGTGCCGCTGCGTGTCCGCCAGGACGGCGACGATCCGAAGAAGTACCGCTGCGAGTACGAGCCACAGTTGCAAGGTCCGCACACGGTGTCGGTAAACTACGCCGGCAAGCCGGTGCCCAACAGTCCCTTCAAAACGACGGTGGCGCCGCCGTGCGACCCGCGAAAGGTGCGCGCCCTGGGCCGCGGCCTGCAGCCGACCGGCGTCCGCGTCAACGACTGCGCCGAGTTCCGCATTTTGACGGATGGCGCCGGCTCGGGCGACCCCGCCGTCCGCGTGATTGGCCCTGATGGGAAGGTGGAGAAGTGCAATGTGCTGAAGGCAAAGGACGGCACCACCTTCAACTGTGACTACAAACCGCTGAAGGAGGGCAAGTACGTGGTGGAGGTGGCCTACGGCGGCTCTGAGATCTTCCAGAGTCCCTTCGAGGTGGCGGTCGGCCCGGTGAAGGAGTCGAAGGTGGTCGTCTACGGGCCCGGACTGAAGGGCGGCATGGTGGGCTACCCGGCCAAGTTCACCGTGGACACCAACGGCGAAACGGGCACGCTGGGTTTCTCCGTAGAGGGCCCCTCCTACGCGAAGATTGAGTGCAAGGACAACGGCGACGGCTCGGCGGAGGTCACCTACCACCCGACGGCGCCGGGCGAGTACGCCGTGCACGTCACCGTGGACGGCGACGACATCCCCAACTCGCCCTACTGTCCCATCATCACCGAGAAGGCCGACTTCAAGCCGGAACTGGTGGAGGCCACCGGTCCGGGCCTCAACCCGAAGGGCGTCGTCATCGCCAAGCCCACCGAGTTCACCGTGGACACGCGCAAGGCGGGCGGCGGTAAGAACAAGCCGGTGCCGGAGATATCGGTGATGAACAACTCGGACTACCGCGAGGTGGAGACGAAGGTCACCGACAACAAGGACGGCACCTACAAGGTCAAGTACACGCCTGACAAGCTGGGAAAGCACACTGTTCAGGTCAACTACGGCGGTGTGTCGATCAACAAGAGCCCCTTCAGAGTGGAGGTTGGCGGCGTGGCTGATCCTTCAAAGGTACTTGAACTTCACTTGCATTGTCAAACAATAACTAATTGTACTTTTTTTCAGATCAAACTCTACGGCCCTGGTCTGGAGAAGGGCGTCAAGCCAAACAAGGAGACGCACTTTGTGGTGGATGCTCGCTCTGCGGGCAGCGGTGAATTTGTGCCCACCGTCAAGGACGAGAAGGGCAGCGATATTCCCGTCAGCGTGACCGACCACCAGAACGGACAGTACACGGTGGAATACACGCCGCCCGGACCGGGCAAGTACAAGGTGAACGCTACCTACGCTGGAAAGCAGGTGCCCAAGTTGCCCGTCGACATCAACGTCACACCGCCTGCGGACGTGTCCAAGGTGAAGGTTGACGGTTTGGAGCCAAGTAAGTAGTGCGCACTTATTTTTCCAATTTCTACCTTTACCATCACCACTACCATCATAACTGCTCTTAGAAACGCTATTACATAATTTTTTACCGAGTCAGCTTACACCTTTCATCTTACAAACAAAAAACACATTACCTCATTAGGATGAAAGGGTGAATTATTGCAGCACCTAACATCAAAGACGACTTTGAAGACGACCACAGTTGCATGCCACAGTAGTAGTGATCGTTCAGACAGTCAAGGACACAAGCACACAAGCACACAGACACTTCTTAATTCTCGAAAAGCTATGGTAGTTGCCTGCAGCCAAGTAGAGTAGTGATTTATGCCTGCATCGTGCTGCTGCTGTCACACAGTTTGTTCCTAAATCACAACTAGACGCTAGCAACCAGTAAAGAACCAGAACTGACCAGATGCAACGCGCACACACCAGGTGCACACCACTTGGCAGCACTTTAGAGCATTTTAAGTCACACATTACACAGTACACATCACGCACACACACATTTTTCGTTCTTCTGCGGCAACTGCAGCATTTTTTCTTTTTTCCACTTTCTCTTTTTTGTCTGCTCTGCTCCCCTTCTCTCTCTTTCACACACACTTCTGAGCAGTTGCCATGGTCAACTCGGTGCAGACGTTCCGAGTGCGCATCGGTGACGCGTGCAACCACTTCGACGAGGTCTCGGTGATCATCGACCCACCCTCGGGCGTCACTGGTGGTCACGGCACTGGTAGTAACCACCACAGTCTAGACGCTGCCGGACAGCTATTCGACAACAGCAGCAGCAACCACAGCAGCAGCAGAGACAGCCGACGGCAGAGTCTGCTGCCGGCAATCACGCCCACTCCTGGCGGATTCGTCGTCCGCTACACGGCCCATGAGACCGGAACTTACCACGTGCGGGTACTCCTCAACAGCTGCCTCATCACGGGGGCGCCCTTTGCCGTGGAGGTGCTGCCCACGCCGTTGCTTCCTCCATTGATTTCGCCTAGTTTTTACGACTACAGCAGAAGTGAACTCATTTCAGCTTTTTCAATGCAAAGTCTCAATTTTCAAGAAGAGGAGGCATTGCAACAGGAAGATGCGTTGCAAGGCTACCTCTCCAGTTTGCCCACCGCCGATGAGCTGTTGGCTGTACAGGTGCGCGCCTTTGGGCCCGGACTGCGCGATGGTCTAGTGGCTAATCGAGTGGCGGAGTTTATCGTTGACCTCAAACCGGTGCTGACGCCCAGTGATGGTAGTGGCATTGTCAGCGGAACAATTCCCTTTGTCTCTGCCGCCACCACAACGGCCCCCGGTCGAGTGCAGGTCATCGTGGACGGGCCGACGGAGGCGAAGATTCACTGCAAGGACAACCAGGACCACACCTGTTCGGTGGCGTACCTGCCCAACCTGGCCGGCCTCTACTCGGTGTCTGTCCTCTACAATGGCTACCACATCTACCAGTCGCCCTTTGCCGTCCAGGTGGCCGAGGACTGGGAGACCAGTCGCGGCCGGTCGCCGGTTCTCAAACCCACTGCCTCCTTTCGTCGTCGTTAGATCAGTGGGCAAATGGACAAAGATTAGCTATCTAAAGCACACACATATGTACCCACACACTCACTCACACACTATCTATTTAGTCAATTTTCACCACTACTACTACTACTACCTTACTACTACTACCAATGACTACATTCTGTGAAAGCCTTCCATTTCCTTTGAAGTAGTTACCTTATCTGACACTGAGCACCACCAAATGACACTGTTGTTTTGTTGTGTTTAATTTTCACCCCTCATCCCCTTTCCCTCCTCCTCTCCTCATTCTCCTAACTCCTATCCACTCCTAACCCGTTCTTTACTCTGACCATCCTCTCCCGTAGATCAGTTTGTCTCTGCACTGAACGCTTTCACAGTGGACGCTCGAGGAACGGAAAAAACGGGCGATGGCAAGGTGACCGCCACCATCAAGTCGCCTTCCGGCAAGAAGGTGAACAACTTTGTGGAGAACAAAAACGACGGCACCTACAAGGTGACCTACATTCTTCCTGAAGAGGGTACGTTTTGGCTAATATTAGTGCTATTTCTAATGTTTTGTTTTATTACCTAGGCGAATACAGCTTTGATTTGAAATATGATGACTCTCCTGTTCCTGGAAAAGGTAAGTTTTGATAGTTGGAAAAGTCAAAAACCGCAGCGCAGCGCAATGCACAGCAAAAAGAATGAGAACAGTAGAGTTGCGCCGCTAAGAGGAGAGAAAAAGCCAAATGTAAAAAAAGGTTATGTCGATCGGTGTTCAAACTAGTGGTTTATTGACAAAAATAATAGAAAACATTTAAAAAGTTAAGTATGAAAATAGAAAAGAGTTATGAAATAGGGCTGTCAGAGAAAGTTTTTTTCTGATTTTTTGTTCTGTGATACCAACGAAGTTGCTGTGCGTTTATGCGCTCTCGATTTTTTTCTCGATAGGCGCGCCTATTTTCCTTGATCTTTTCATAATTTTCTTCATTGTACTTGCGAAAATATTCTTTCTTTTCTTCAAGATTTTCACTTTGGCGTTTTTTTTCAATAATTTTATCCTTGTTGTTGTGATAATATCGACGGGAGCCTTCATTAATCTTTTCTCGGTTTTTATCACGGTACTTGCGGTTAATTTCAAGAATACGCTCTTTGTTGTTTTCTCGATACTTGCGTTCAGATTCAATTTTCTTTTTGCGTCGCACTTGATTTGTACGGAAATTGTAACTATGAACCAGGCCATTTGTCATTCTACTTAAACTCAGTCCTAGATGTTTGTTAACTTGATTATCAGTTAAATTTTCTGGCTCAATTTTGTCTCCATTGTCAGCCGGCAAATTTTCAGGAAAAAACAGCGCAGTTCTTAAATTATTTTCATCTTCTTCTTCTTCTTTAAACTTTTGAATGAATTTCATTAAATCTTTAATCCACATTCGTTCTGGTGTGGTTTGCCGATGTCGGAAAAGTTTTTCTTGTTTTTCATCTCTGGTTTTGATGAGTTTTTGAAAACCATCTTCAGAAAATGAGCTAATAGGAAGACTTAATAAATACGAGTAATCACTTGCTGAAAAGTAAATTGATTATTAGAATTTTAACAAAAGTTTTTTGTTTCAATTTTACCTTTTCCGTTAAACTTATCAACGGGATTGATGTCGTAGCCACGGCGACTGAGGTCAGCAGTTAAAAAGCTCAGTGTAACATTTTCAAAGTCGACCACTCCTTCTTTCTTCTCTGTGATAAAGCGCACCTGATTGTCGTAGTAGCTAATTTCAGCTTGAAGTAGGCCTTCAGTGTACTGCTGTCTTGCTTTGTAGAGGTCAAGGCGACATGAAAAATGGCAGTCGAGAATTTCATCTATTGATTTGAACTCTTTCAAGTGTCCTTCTTGATCAAATAGCCAAAGATGCTCTTGCAGAAAATGAATGAGCTGAAAAGTATTGTAGAATCCTTTTTCTAAAGCTTTTTTCAGATTTTTACTTGGAAGATTTACCACAAAACGTAGAGAAAAGTCAGTGTGATGCTCACTGAAAGAGTTGATAAAGCCAATTTTTGCCAATTTTTCAAGTACTTTAGTTTTGTACACTTGAGTAGTTGTACCAATCGGCAGCTCCGTTATTTCAAAACTTGCATCAGAGAGTTGAGCAGCGGCTCCAAAAATGGCAAATTTGTTTGGCTTTAGTCGACGGATAGTGCCATTAAAGTTCTTGTAAAATGGTTCTAGTGGCGGAAGTTCATCTTCAACACCGGAGAGCTTCAGCATAATTTTCTGTGCAATTTGCTCAAAGTTATAGCTGGCGACAGACGATTTCCAAAAACCAAAATTGTAAACTCCGTTGATTAACACCATTGGAAGAAGTGGAACAAAAAATGTAGGCTCGGTTGTAAAGTAGTTGGTTTGCTTGAATGAAAGAAATTGCTCATCTTTTTCTGGAAAAAGGAGACGAACTGAAGGACTAACTTCTGTCAAAAGGTAGTGTGAAGTAGCTGCTTCTTCTCCTGTGTAACGATTGGCAAATTGGCCTTTTCCAGAAAGTATGCTGATGTTGTTACTGGCAAGGTTGTTTTGGCACATGCTTGAAATAGCAGTTTCAATGTGCCTTTCATTTTGAGCGTAATTTGTTTCCGCAGATACTTTTCCGGCAAGCTGAGGTAGAGACAGAAGTGACTTTGTTTTAAAACTTGAACTTAAAATTTTTCTCCGTAATTGTGTTTGGCCATCAACAGCTGAAGGAGCCATTTGCTGTATCACAAAGTTGCAGTACTGCAAATAATAGTTGTCGATGAATTCTTTAAACGAAATTGTTTCTGAATCGCCTTCAGTTTCAAAAGAGGAAACAATAATTTTGTTTTGATGTTCTTCAATCCATTTTCTACGCTCCGAAGTCATTTCAGGGCTGAATGCTATGTCAAGAGCGTTGTCGTCTTCAGCGCCGCCATAATTAAAGTTAATTAAATGATTATTCAAGTTTGCAAACGATTCAATAACTTGAGTAGAAGGAAGACTTCCAAGACCTGTAAAGAAAACAATGATTTAAAACGGTTTATAATATGTCATTTTTAAAAGTTACCTCTGAAATAGTTAATCGTAAAATCGTTTAAGCTGTTGGTGTTTTGCCTCCAACTTTCAAAGTGTTTCAGTGAGTAAAACAAAAAAGTTTCTCTGTTGTCAGACTTGTTATAAGCATGTACAATTGGGAACTTCATTTTGGAAAACATGTTCTTGCGTTTCAATAAAGCAGGCCAGTACTTGTGAAACAAAGTTATAATTAAGCCAGTTAAATGAACTCCGTTTACGTCAGGATCTGACATAATTAGAATTTTTCCGTAGCGCAATTCCTCTTGTTCACTTTTTGTAGTGTACTTTTTGTTAAAGTCCAATCCTAGGCTGCTGACAATCAATTTAATCCATTTGTTGCTTTTCACTCTTGCGTCAATTGAATCCTTTGCGTTGATCAGTTTGCCTTGAAGTGAAAGAATTCCGAAAAAGTTTTTTTCAAGCACAAATAAGCCAGATTTGACTGCTTTCATAGCTGATGGCCCTTCTACTATTATCAAAGTTGTTTGCTTAGCTTGAGTTGTTCCAGCAAATTTAGCGTCAACTAAGTCGTTAGAATATGCGGCAGTTTGCTATTTAAATTTTGAATCAGAGTTTTAGATTATGAATTGTAAAAAAGTAAATTAAAGTACCTTATCACCGGTCGAGAAGTGCTTGACGACATTTTCCTCATCAGAATCGCTTTTATCGGCTGCGTGAACACTGTTATCATCATCATTTTCTTTTTCCGCCTCCATGTGAACGTCATCATTTTCGCTTTCCTCTTCGTCCTCTGCTAGATAGTCGTCATCGTCAGCATCTTCAGAAACAGTGTCATTATTCTTTACATCAGTTGGCGATTCGCTTTCCTTTTCAGCGTAATTGACAACTCTTTTTGAACGACGGGCATTGCGACACTTGTTTTCAAACTCAGTGACCAAATCCATAGAATCTATCATGTTTTCCAAAGGTTCCCAGGTATTTTCAGAAGAGCTGTAACCCTCCCATTTTACAAGATATTTAACGTTTTCGTCGTCAATTTGCTTGTCGACAATTTGTTCGACAATATAATCCTTTTAAACAAACAAAAAGAATACAAAAAGTTAAATTAGATCAGATTAGTGAAATTATACAGAAAGTTAAACTTACTTCAAGTTCGTCATCCATAATTGTTTGAAAGAGTACAAAACGTCAGAAACCAGCAAATAGATGAACAGTGAAGGCAAAAATGAAATTCTGGTAAAAAATGAAACCAGAAAAAACGAAAATCCGCAAAGAAGAACTCCAGCGCAGGGCAAAGAGAGAAATAGAACAGCAGTTCAGAGAGAAATCGAACCGACTGACCGAGCGTAAACAGTGCGAGCGGAGCGCGCTGAAAAGAGAGCCAATGGGAAAACCAGAAAGGGTGCTGGAACAGGGAAAGCACAGTCCAGAGTAGGCGGGGAGGGTAACG